AAAAAAAAAACCACAAAGCCTGAGTGATGACATTTATGGACACACAAACTAAACAAAATCTACTGTAGTGGCGAAAAAGGCTCGGACAGTGAGGACGTTTTGCATAAATGCAGGACACACCTTAAATTTGGGGTATTGGGCTTTGCAGTGAAATTTCAGGATGAACCTTAACTGACTGTATGTAAACATGAGTACATTTTACTGTTGGTTGAGTCTGAAATTTCACCCCAGAACCCAATATCCCACACTTTCTGTCAGAATTGTATAAATATAGAAAGAGGCTGATTATGGCTGGTGTTCACTGAATCAATTAAAATCTGGACGGGTAGTGTAGGAAGTGAGATCAAACGTCATGTGGAGTGTTCCACTTTCTCAGGATGGCCTCTGCTGCATCCAGGGTGGAGTCCTCCTGAGATATGGACATTAAAATAATAAAAAGTCTGTTTGAATCATAGATACAAAAAAGTCAAATGAAAAGGAACATCACAGGGTGTTTTACCTTGATGAAGCAGAATCGGATGTATTTGTCAAAATCTTTGCCGTGCTCTGGACTAAAGAAGGCTGACACTGGTATTGTCGCCAAGCCCTGCGGAAACAGCCCATAGATAAAAAAACCAAATTAATTAACTATGGCAATTAATTTACAGCAGAAACCTCGAAAGTTACACAATTTTTGACCAAATCTACATATCTAAACTTCGATCAGGCATCAGTTATCACATCATTTCAGTTCAGTGAGCATTAGGGGATTTGCTTTTTCCTTCTGTATTTTTAATGTGTCATACAATGTTTTACCCTGGTGACAGATTTTTTTCGACCTATGAGGAAAGGTAACTGAATCAATCAAATTCTGAATTTACCTTTTCTTTAATGAGCCATTTGACGAATCTGAAGTCGTAGGATTCATCTTTTGTGCTTGGGTCATTGAGATCCACCTCTGTGGAGAAAAGGAAGTTGAGTTCACAACATGCCGTGTCATGTTGGTTGTCTATGTGTGCCCTGCGATTGGCTGGCAACCAGTTCAGGGTGTACCCCGTGTACCCAAAAAACAGCGGGGATAGGCTCCAGGATGCCCGCGACCCTCATGAGGATAAGAGGTTCAGATAATGGATGGATGGAAATTTTCTCTGCAAGAAACAACCCCCAACCTCCTTGTGACCCACACTGCTTGCTCACCGACAGAGGAGATGTCGGTTATCATGAAGTAGCCCCCCTGGGGCATAATGGGCTTCAGGCCTACGCTCTCCAGACACATTGCCAGTTTCTCCCGCTTTCGGTTCAGCGTTGCCGGCAGCTGGCGGAAGTAGCTTTCCGAAGAGCCAAATAGTTCCAGCTCACGCTCGAAGCCGCGAGCTACTGCCTCCTGCAAGGTAGGCCCGGGTAAGTGTGGCGGACATGACGATCAAATAAAACAGTATCTATTTCTTGTTGTCCTTGTTGTGATTGTCGTCACCTGAGCAGCAGTGGCACAGTGGTAGACGCAGTTCTGATGGATGGTCTTCATGTGCTTGAGGAGGGGACCATCACCGATCGCCCAGCCCACCTGGACAAAAGAACAATGCACAAGTAAATGATGGCTGTCTAATATACAGTTTATTACCTACATGCTCTACTCTCTGAAAATTTGAGATTTGGGGGTAAAACGTCACTATCAGTTTTACAAGTGAACCCCCACACCGCACATCAATTGGTCACCTTCCATCCCGTAGCACTGAAGGTCTTGCCCGCGCTGCCGACCGTTACGGTCCGCTCCCACATGCCGGGCAGGCTGGCTGTCAATAAAGCCAAACACGCTTGCATTATTTCCTCCCTTGGGAAAGATTATTGTGGTCATAGGATTTATTGTATGTATGTATTTGCAAGTATTGCGATTTCTTTTGCGGTATTTCCCCTCACCTATTTTGACATGCTTGGCTCCGTCGTAGGTGAGCCACTCGTATACCTCGTCACTGAAACACAGCACGTCATGCTTGATGCACAGGTCGGCGATCACTTGCAGTTCTTCCCTCTTGTAGACCTGCAATGATGTTAACATCCCGAGACGAAAAATAAAATGATGACTCTGCGCTGTTTCGGCAAACCGCACTAAGCGCGATTTCACTTCTGACCTTTCCCAGCGGGTTGTTGGGCGTGTTGATAACGATTGCTTTGGTGCGTGGAGTAAATTTACTGGCCAGCTCGTCAGCAGACAGGACCCAGTCGCCGCTTGACATGGCGCCATCCCCGCCTTCCACTTTCTGTGAGGAGGTGGGGGAAATAGATTTGTAGCAAACCACCATCAAGGCATATCTTAGATTAAAGCCCAGGGTTAGAGCTAATCAGCTTCGTCATTAGACTGCGAGGGTGTGCCGTGTATCATATTTAAAAAAAGCTTGTTGGCACCTTGTGGCATCTTGGTATGTTGAAGTGAAGGGAGGAGTTTTATTTAGTCAGGCCATAGACTTGTGTGACAGAAAAAAGTGCCTTTTGTGGCATTAACAGGCCATTACAAAAATCAGGAGATGACAGATAAGGGCACTTACTGGCCTTAGAGGGATGTAAACCGCCTTCCCGCCCACCATCTTGACCATGGGCTGATAGCAGTCAAAGAAAGGCTCCACTATGATCACCTGAGGGAACCACATTTGGGTACATTTACCCCCACAAAATAGTCACCCAAAATGACCAGTAGCCTTCAGAAAGAGGGTTAAGAGCATGCACCTCGTCTCCCTCATCCACCAGTGCCTGGAAAGCGCAGTAGAGCGCCTGGTAAGCGCCCACCGTCACCAAAACGTCCTCCATGGGATCGATATGGTGTCCCACGATGCCGCTGAAGAATTTGGCTAGACTATTTACCAGACGTGGGTGGCCCTGGTGGGGTGGGCATGAGAGAGACAGAGAGAGATGGTCATGAGTGAGCAAGAGAGAGAAACCTGATGTCATGTATAGGAAACAGTTTTGAACACAGCCTCAGTAAACTCACGAAAGCGCGTGTGTACTGGTGCATGGAGGGACCGCCACGCAAGGCTTCACAGAAGGCATCTTGGATATATTGCGGAGGGGCGAAGTCTGGGAAACCCTGCCCGAGGTTGACAGGGTTGTATTCGGCTGCCATCTGGGTGAACTCCACCCTGTTGGATGAGAAAAACAGCTTTGATGTCAAAACTTGTCCACTATTTGTATTCTTTCACAAAGTGCAATTTTATGAAGCAATTGTTTTTAATGGGTTTTTACATAACACAGGTTGATCTCAATTTAGGGTCGCGTGCCTTCACTATACTGTAGTACTACGTTGTGCCACAACATGCCAGACTCTTATTTTGAGTCTTCTTTTTGTTTGCTCAAAGTGATATAATATGATAATCAGCAAAACGCGTGACAACAGGCGCTTAAGAATGCTTTAAGTGTGTAGTTGTGGGAAGGGCCAAAGTACTGAGACCACATGCAAAAGCCCCTAGTGAACAAATAACAATTGTGATTATTGTGGACAATTTGTACGACTAAAGTCCACAAGTTACTTTTACATTGAATTTACCTTCTGATGAATCAGAAGCAAAGAGTCCAGCAAAACTTACAATTATGTAATACATCGATGTAAAATAAATAAATAACAGCATATGTTAGATTTGTTGTTGTTTGTGAGTCATTTGCACTTGTTGACATGAACCTGTTCTGTTTCTTACCATACGTTTTTGTCGACCCCTTCGGTCCTGCTCGCGTTTAGCCTTCGTGACATGATTTTCTGGTCGTGGAAGAAGACGAGATGAAAACAAATATGCACAAACCAAAGGTCGCAAAGGATTAAGATCACACGCACCCGCACATACCTTGGGGAACTTTCGAAGAGCAGCGGTGCACTGACTTGCAGTCACAAGATTCCTGATGAGTATTCCCATCGGTTAAAGAAACATTGCGATAGCAGAGTGTCTTTAAATTAAAAAAAATAAATAAAATAGGAAAACGTATTATAAATCTGAAATTGAACAATGTGTTTTATGTGACAATTTAGTGCGCAGCAGCGAGCGATATTCAAGGGAACGGTCGACCCAGTCTTTAAATCACTTCCGGGATGGGTGGGACAAGATTGTCGGGAGACGTCGTTGGAAGGAATATAAGAATATATATATAAAATAAAAATACATACATAAAACAACATTCTACCACCACCTGAATACTAAGGTTAAATAAAATTTCTGCACTGGACTGTTGAAACAAAATAGATAATTTCTTGTTCGTTTACAGATTCCCGATTTCTTAGGACTGATTCAACAGAGGAAGCATGGTTGCTAGAAACGGACATTTCTTCGAAACAACAAAAGGAACAAAGAAAACAACAACAATCATCTTTAATTTTTGTCGCCCGAAAGGAAAACCTTTCGTGTAGGTGTACGTAGTGGAAAAAATCAACAGAGGGACACACTCAAACAGAGGGACAAACATTGGAATGCACACATAACTTGAAACAACACACTGATACAAAAACATAGAGCGAGATCCAGAAAAGGCTCAGACACATAAACACACTAAAATAAACAACACAGCCACTAAAAAGCAGACACACACACCACAAAAACACTCCCAACACAAAATACACTTGGAGAAACACATTCTCAAACATATACACAGGCTCCAGAGACACACAAAAACATGCACACTCAGAGGGACACGTGCACAGACTCAAAAAACAGATACACACTAAAATACACTCAAAACACGAACACTTTGAAAAAACACACTCAAACCACACTAAAACCATAAGACACTCAAACACAGAATTTAGCACAAACAAAAAACACACTCAATTCAAATAACTCCACACACTGAAAAACACATGTAAAGACAAATTAAAAACACATGATTGCTCAAGCTCACGCACACAACCCCAAACAGACAATTAACCACTGACAAAAAGCAACACAGTAAAACACACACTGGGTGTTTGTATCATTTTGTTTATAGTTTGAAATCAGTTAGCATTTGTGTCCCACCCATTGAACGAGAAATGGGAAGCACCATTGATTGCTGTTCATAACTACAAGTTGGCTTTCTTCAAGTCCTCTGGAAGAACTCTGCCCTTCTTTCTGGCCTTGTTCTTCTTTTTCTCCACTTTGGTAGTCTTCCTCTTCTGGATGTTCCTGCGTCGCTTGTCCTGCCTCTTCTGCATCTTCTCCACGACCGTCTGGCTGCGCCCGTCCCATTGCTTCTTGTGCCGGTTGCGCTTCTTCTCCTTGTTGGCAAGGGCAGTGCGCAGCATGTCCTCGTCGTCCTTGATCTTGATACCCTCGGCCTTGTACAGCGCGTTGGTCCACTTCATCCTGGCCTCCACCTCTCGGGCCTTGACCTCGTCCATCTCCCGCAACTTGTCCAGTTTGTCCTTGCGCGCTTCTACCCGGCTCAGCAGCTGCTTGTAGTTGCGCCCGGACAGCGGCGTGATTTGGCCCTTGATGTGCTGCTTCTTGGCCTTCTTCTTCATGACCTTGTCCACGTACTCCTCCTCCACCGTCTCCACCGTGTTGAAGATCACGGCGCTCTCTTGTCGCTTGTTGATGGCCGTGGGAGCCACTTTCTGTTCGGCCTTCTCTTCCTTCTTCACCTCGGCCTGCTTGCTTTGGGCTTCTGCCATCTTCTTCAACTGGAATTCCTTCTTCTTTCGCTTCTTGCGCTCACGCTCCAGTTTCCGCTTGGCCCGTTTGGCCTGGACAGCCTCTGACAGCGCCTCCTTTGGGGCTCCCTGCCAAAAATGAAATGACACATTCTGAATAATGACAACAATATCGTCTATGCTCCTTGCGTAAAGATAACAAAAGACAATCTCTCAACTCAAGGAATACATTCTTTAATTTAGAAATTGTACAACAGTCTCCATCTTCATACCTGTGCTCTGGCCTCTTCAATCTTCTCGTGCAGCCTCTTCCGTAGAACATCGAAGGCAGAGAAAGTATCCTTCACATTTGGCCCTTTAAAAGAAGGAAGCAGACTAAGTTTAAGTGGGTTTTAATACGTTTAAAGGGCACGCGAGAGGTAAAACTAGAAGTCTGCAATGTTGGCCCTATGAAAAGACAAAAGATTAAAAATGACAAAATTGAGTTGACTTACAAAAGGAGCCAACAATAAAATTAAGATGTTAAAAAACAAAGTAAAACATGCACCAATTTTAATGCACTCTGATGTTTGAGCGAGTTTGTGTACCTCCTGTATCTGCCACGCGTTTTGTGTTCACTTTCAAGTGTCCGTTGTGTGCTGACTTTGGATTGGAATTGTTTGGACGTGTCACACTTTGCTTCTTTTCATTTTTGAATGACTTCTTTTTGCACTTTTTCTTCTTCTGTGGTGGACCACCATCTTTCTGGCCCTTAAATGGAGCTGAAAGAAAAGAGAGAAAAAAAATCTTGACTAATCTTTCACAAGGAAGTGGGCGGATTAAAATAAATATGGATATTAACGTTGGTACAGAAATTGCTGGATGGTATCAGTGAATTTGTGGGACCCCTTGCAAACAAGATCTCAAGGGAATTTTCTCAGGTCAGTAAAAAAACAAAAAAAAACAAAAGTAATTAGACACATACCTCACTTTCAGTAGTTTGTGGATTAGATCTAGACCAAAACCTCATTGAAATCAAATAGCCTAGCCTAAAAACTATCGGGAGCAGTAACATTAACAACATTAAAGTGCATAAGGGCAGAGAGCGTATACTTCTGCCACTTCTGGAAATAATTAAATGCAAGATTTGAGTCAATAAAGGTGGTGCATTGATTTACATTTTCGCACAAGTGGGGATATATTCAAATTCATATAACTGTATATAAAAAAAAAACCGCCATAAATAAAACAAAAAATGTTACCGAATGGCCTCTTCTTTGGTTCCTGCTTCTGCTGATTTAACTCTTTCCTGGCAAATTTCTGGATGTAGGAATCCCTTGCTGCGAGATCCATGTAGAAAACTGACGCTTTTTATTGTATTTTAAATGTTTCTTTATATAGAAAATGGACCGATTCCATTTGGTAAGAAACGCATCCACGCGCACGTGTGGGCGGGGGGGGGGTGAAAAAAAAATGAAGGTGACGGACCCGGAAGCAGTTCCTTCATAAAAATACCGGAAGTAGTAACAAGAAAATAACTCCCCGCTTCTTCACAGCATTAGTACAGTAACATGTCACTTACGTAGCTGCACCGGTGATAAAGGTTGTCTCGGTATGTTTTCGCTAAAAACGCTGCTGGTTTCCTGCAGCAGCGCGTTGACCACTTTAAAACACGTAAGTTTCCTGAAAGAGACTTAAAATAAAGAGTGTTTTTTTTTCCTTCCTTAAGTGTTTGATATATGAATGTTATTGCAGACGAATGTCGTTCACGCCAAGAGGACTCTTTGCCTGCGTAAAACGCCTCTCTTCAGACGAACAGATGGTAACACTAATGTATTTAAAGTATATTATAATGTATTTAAATTTCTTTGTTAAATTAAAAAAAAATGTGTGTTTCTCTGATATTACGATGCTTCTCACCTATAAGTGATGAAGCGCTTGTCACCTCCCATATACGGCAAGGCAGTGGCCCTATGCGGGGGAATCTAGACTTGTTCATTTACATGTTCCATTGTTTGGCATCTCTCCTCCATTCTGCACAAACACAAGGTGCAAAAGTCATGATATAATCTAATTTCACTCGTGTATAAATGATAGTAGAAGGGTCCTAATATTAATTTATAGTTGGTGTTATTACTCCAGTCAGGTGGATTGCACAGCGGCATTCGTCCAGTTCGGTGGCGGCAACCGGAGAAGACACTTTTCTTAAATGGTTCCTGCTGCTCATCCCGGCTACCACATTTGGCCTCGGTACCTGGCAGGTATGCACTTTTAACAGACATTTTTCTAAAAATTATTGAGAATCTTTGGAAAAGAAAAAGCAATTATTGAAAAACTACATTGGAAAAAGATAAATATAATATAAAATACATTCTAAAAATAATTAATTGAAAGTGAAGTTTAATTTGCAAAAGCAAATAATGTAAAATATCTTTAAATAATTACTCTTTATATATATAATTTTGAATTTCAAAAACTAAACTCACTGTAAAAAGTAGAGTCTCATTGTCATATAACTATTTTTTAATCATTATTATTTTAATTACATCAAGGTGAAACGTCGGCAGTGGAAATTACAGCTGATCGATGAACTGACCAGACTCACCACAGCCGAGCCCATTCCACTTCCAATTGAGTGAGTGCGCTACCTCCTGACGGTTGCAGGAAATGCGGCAGGCTGGAAACCGACCTAACATCTCCCCTCTGCAGCCCCCTGGAGCTGACGGGCCTGGAATACAGGCGGGTGCGCGTGCGCGGCCGCTACGAGCACGACAAGGAGCTGTACGTCCTGCCGCGTTCGCCCGTCGACCCGGAGAAGGAGGCCAGGATGGCGGGGCGGTTGACATCCAGCGGCGAGACGGTCGGCGCAAACGTTATCACGCCCTTTCACTGCACGGACCTTGGGTAATTGAAATGCTAGACCGAATTATTTAGAATGTGATACAAATACTTATTTACGCATATTTAATTTAGTCATTTAAAAATATGTAGCCTAAAACGATATATTCAGCAGTCCATGAAAAAAAATATTTTCATTGAGCTCATTTCCTTCCATTTAATGATATCCTCAGCATCACCATCCTGGTGAACCGAGGCTACGTCCCCAAGCAGAAGATGAGACCAGACAGCAGAATGAAGGGCCAGGTGAGTACCCCAAAGCCTTTTTTTTCTTTTTAACCCTTCAACTTTAGTCTCAGCAAGGTGTATGGTCATTTGCGCGTGCAGGTGGAGGATGAGGTAGAGGTGGTCGGGGTGGTCAGGCTGACAGAGCCCCGCAAACCCTTCATGCCCAGCAACGACCCCGAGAGAAACCGATGGCACTTCCGCGACTTGGAAGCAATGTCAGACGTGACAGGAGCTCAACCCATTTTCATTGATGCTGACCTTGGTAACATTGCGTGTCATGAGACCAGTGGTGGGAAGTAACAAAGTACAAATATATGTACTTGAGTAGGTTTTTCCATGTATATTCATGGTTTTGCATTTCAAATTTCTGATTTAAATGTGTCTATAAATTCACATTTGGGGCATGTCACCAAGCAAATTATCTTTTTGGGCGAGTTGAGGAACTTCAGACAAATGTAGTGTGTTGCCACCATCTTGTGGCGACCTGGTGCCAAGGAACTATGTTGAAGTGATTCAAGCTTCAGCTGAAGTAATGGTTTATTGCCATTTTGGTGCCCATGAACTATGGCACCTTTAAAGGCTATGTGACTAGAAAGTGCATTTGAGTCTATACCCTTTTTTTTGTACAACTGTGTCTCTACTTAAGTACAATAAGTACCGGTACTTTTTCCCCCTCCCATCTCTGGACTCTTGACTGAACATTTTTTTTTTTTTTTGCCATCATACAAATTCCCTAAGAGGAAATGTTTTCCAGCCAGCACCATCCCAGGAGGGCCAGTCGGTGGGCAGACGAGGGTGACGCTGAGGAATGAACACATGCAGTACATTATCACCTGGTAAGTTACGTTTTGTGATTCATGTACTTAAATTCATTTGCTTTTACAAATGTATGTTTTTTGTCTTCAAGGTATGGCCTGTGTGCAAGCACTGCCTACATGTGGTATGCAAAGTTCATCAAGAAGCTTAAAGTGTAAAACATCTGCTGAATTTGTCTGCATAAACTCTTCTGATGTAGCAATCTGAATTAAAACATTGGGGGGGTGTTGAGTGACTTGAATCAGGAGTGAAGTGAATTGTCCCACCCAAAATGAATTGGTGACATTTGGAGAAACCTCCAATGATTGGTTAGTTCACACAATTTAGTGACGTGCCATTAGCGATTGCAATGGTGCACACAATTTCAACCAATCACCCAAAACAAAATGCCTTCAATTAGGCAAGATTTTGAAAAAAGACCAACGTTCAAACAATATATTTATTTTTTTATTCCAAAGAATTTAACCAAGCTTGGTTGCCAACTCCTTGGCCTTTGCCTTCTCCAGCTTGGCGATGCGAGCGGTGGACTTGGGGCCCATGATGTTGCCTCCCCAGTGACGACGGATCTGCAAAAGGGGCAAGAAAAGTCCCATGTTTAGCATTTTCAGTATTTCCACACACCATATGGGGAATTTTTATATCGGACACTGAAAAGTCCACTGTATAAAAATCCCTATGAAGTCGTGAAGGCATGATTCCTAATGTTTAGAATCATTTCCTGATTCGCTCTCATTATTGGTGATTTCTGACACCATTCAATGGATAGAGAGCGATTGACACATTTTAAAGTCGCCAAGGAAGTCTCACCTCCTCGTATCTGTCATTATAGTTAGTCTTGATGGCTTCCACTAGCTTGGCAAGGGCACCTTTGTCCTCACTGGGAAAAAAAAGGCGCAATTACTGAGCAAGGTCATAAAGGTGTGGGAAATTATTGGTAAAATGGATTTCTTTGCTTACGGGTTGGTCTGCGTGAAAGCCACCGAGGTGCACGTCTTCCTGTGCACCAGCTTGCCCAGGCGAGCTTTGCCCTTCACAATGCAGTATGGGACGCCCATCTTGCGGCACAGGGCAGGCAGGAAGACCACCAACTAAGAGCAGCGCGGGAAAATGCCAGGTTAGCATTTCACCTCACACGACTGTTGGTAGAGGGGTGGTCTCTTGGCTCAGGGTTAAAAAGCTCGTATGTTTTGATCCACACGGGATGATTCAGGTGAAGAAATTCAGACATCATTGCCGAGAGAATGTCACGCAAGGCAAACTTGCATCAGCTTACCTCGATGGGGTCCACATCGTGGGCGATAACCACCAGCTGGGCCTTCTTGCTTTCCACCAGAGATGTGACAGTGTTGACACCTGGAAGAGAGCAACAAGGTCACTCTCAAAAGATAAGGGGCTGCGGGCTAGAGAAGGCCTTGAAAGGCCAGTGCTCAGGGTTAAAAAGCTCATAAAACATCAGGATGAGTCTCAGGTGAAGAAATTCAAGTCACATCACTGCATTGAGGCCACTTTGATTTTGGACACTTGAGACCAGGTTCACACAACATGGGTCGATACAAAGCGGTTGATGCAATTAACCGACGGTCACTTGAAATAATATCCCATAATGCACTGCAGCAATACAGAAGACAATACCGACAGCCATAAACCTTTTCTATTCATCAGAGGGGAGAAGTTTCTGTCGATTGGCCGATTAAATTTAAGTCCTCCTGCTCCTATTGATGGCTGTGCGCTAACATTAGCTGGTGCATAATGTAATTTGTGCCCGTTTACCTTATTTAATGCGTCTTACATCCGTTTGGCATCAAACAACAAAATGCCCTGCTCCGTGTGATTTCGCTACCCATGTACATGTGGACAAGGCCTCAAATTGCGGTTGCTCTCTTCACTGCTCACCTGCACGGAGGACGGGGGGCCTCTTTGTGGGGGTATCGCCTTTGCCGGCCGCCTTTTGCTCAGCGCGGGCCAGCAGCCTCTTCTTCTTCTCCTGCTTGGTCTCGGGCCTGTACTTGTGGGCCAGCTTGAACAGCTGCGTGGCTGCAGGGGAGGGGGCAAGTACAGAAAATGGACCAATGTGACATAAACTCATGAAATGGCCAAAAACGTATTTGACGATGGGTCTCGAAGACGCATCAACCAACAACTTGGTGATAAAATGCCACCACGCGTGTTAAGATAGCAAAGATTGCATTTGAGTCATGTGCGAGGAAGGTCAAGCAGCAGGGAAGGAGGTCGTACCAGTTTGTCTGTCCAGGGCCTGGGTGAACTGGTTGATCGCGGGGGGTACCTTCAGGCGTTTGTAGAGGATGGCACGCTGCCTCTGCAGGCGGATGTAGCGAGGCCATTTCACAAAGCGCGTCAAGTCACGCTTGGGCTGAATATCCTGGCCTGCACAAAGACAATTAAAACAGTTACAAGACAGGCACGCAAAGCCAAGAGCTTTTGATACAAGTCGAGTACAAGTGCGCATCAGCGATCTTGGTGGGAAGATTGTCTTCAGTGGTGGTAAGATAGCAAATATTCGCTTACATCATTTGCGCAGCATTTTGTGACTCGGCAAAGGGTTGTCGGCGAACTCACCGATGCCAAAGTTCTTTGGCCTCTTCTCGAACAGGGGGTTGACCACTTTCTTAACCTCCTGTTTCTTGGCCACCACAGGGGCGGGTGCCACCTTCTTCCCCTTTGCCTTCTTTCCCTTGGGCTAACACACAAAAGGGCTCACGGTGAAAAACAAGCCCAATGAACATGTTGTATTAACATGGACTTGACTGAACGCTATATTCCGGGTGTCCATCAGACATCAGTTTGGTAACACACAACTAACATTTGCGCATTTTGTTAAAAAGCTTCCAAACGTGCATGAGTAAAGCATAGGTAAAACCTATTGAAAGCTGGTATCAAATTTCAAGATACGATCAGCCTTGTAGTAATGAACTAGTTTGTAAATTGCCCCAGCATTGATTAAAATCCCAATTAAGTCAACAAGACAATAGAAAAATACACTTCGTCTCAAAAAGGCAATTTAAAAACGTCGATGTGACTGCAGCTGTGATAGCCTTTGAGACTGTGCAACTGAACAAGAACAGCCTACATTCACTAACCCAAAAGACAACTTGACAATTTCCACATTACTTAGCAGGCCTCGTCGTACTATTACAAGCGAGGCTCAAGCGCCCCTTCTGAGCAAAACTAAGCAGAGTTCAAATAAAACATAGACGTACGAGGGCTAAAAGTAGAGAAAGGGTAAAATCCACGTGGAAATTAAGTCTTTTCACCGCACGTTAACATTAGCATTGAGGCTAGCGGCCGCAGGGATACCAACGCCGGTAATCACCGATGATGCTCTGAGGTCTTTAAAAAAATATAAACATACTGCGGCGACAAATAACGACGTGCAGCTGTAAAACAGGTCCCTCGTGATATTCCGTTAAACATTACGGCATGAAACGTAGCGATGAAACAAGGATGCAGACAGATACAACATCGACAACATTTGCTGAGTAAACGCCACTATGTACCCACCATGTCGGTTCAGGCAGAAAGGAGGAGCAACGGGTGCTCGGAAACGGAAGTACCGCAAGGCTTCGCTTCCTGGGCAACGTGTTCTCGATTGGCTGATCTGGGATCCGTTTTGACAGCTGCTCTCGATTCATTCTCTGAGATGAAAACATTTTCCAGCATTGCCAAGATCGGCGTTACCACACGGAAATTATAGACGTAATTTTAGCCTGAGGCATAACATTACCGTTGATTATATTTATATTTATATGATAGTTTTAGATATGTAATAACATTTTGCTCGTATTCAAATTCCTACAAAAATATGTGTTTTATGTTTTTAAAAAAAACATATATTAATCACGTGTCCATGGACGTCACGTAGCTAGCTGCTTCCTCAGCCCTGCGACGTGACGTGCAGTGGATGACAGCTGCGGGGTGGGAGTGAGTTGTTTTGAGTAGGAAGGGGGAATTTCTTGTCTTGTCATTCGGCTCAACCCCGTCGCCGCATTCGACTTGCCCACGGTGGTTTGTTCACTGGCATTATGAAGCTGTTGTCCCCGTGACGGTTATCCCACGTCACGGTAAATATGAACTTATAATTGTCAATGGCGGCGGCCGGCGTTTTAGCATCGGTGCTTGGATCTTCTTCCTCGAACGATCCTTCCACTCCAGGAGGCATCATTTTTTAATAATTTTTCTTTGTTTACATTTGCGAGGGCCAACATGTCGTTTTTCTGAAACTGAGGCCGCACAAGCCGTGCGTTATTCATGTCTCGTCATCATTGAAAGCTAGCGTTAGCTTGTCATCTGACTTGTTTTCTAAGACAAACTACAAGAATGGCCGAACAAGACCTTTGTCCTCACTTGGACTCCATCGGGGAGATAACCAAAGACGACCTCCTACACAAATCCAAGGTGGGTCGTCGTCGTCATTCCCCTCCATTTAATTGATGGCGATGATATCCTCTTAATGGAACTCAGCGAACAGCAGGAGAGGTGACACACTCCGTACCGAAGTTCATAAACAGATGGGTGCACAGAAGAACGTTCTTTAATTAAAGCTATATTTAAGAACTAAACACACAGAGCTTCTGGAAATGTTGCCTCTTGCATCAGATAGAACAGTTACAGCTGTTTTGAAATGTGCAAATGTAAAAGAAAAAAAAAACCTAAGAAAGGTAGATAGGCTCACTGTAAAAATCTGCCTAAGCACAGTAGCAAAGTATTTGTACTTTATTACCTCCGACTAATGAACAAGAGTGGAGCTGCACCTACTCTGATTCATGTACTCTAATGAGTTAATTTTGTCTCCTAACAGGGAGCGTGTCAATCATGTGGCGTTGTTGGTCCAAACCTCTGGGCCTGTCTTGAGGTAATTTTTAATATCTCCGTCCTATTTTCAAGAGTGAATGACGAAAGAGAATCCAATACAAAAGACAAGTATTTTACATTACAAAAAAGAAGAAAAAAAAAGATTACCTGCTGTTTTTTTTTCTGTCTCTTACTTTAGAATGACTGCCCTTATGTAGGCTGTGGAGAGTCCTACTCAGATCACAGCACCCTACATGCACAGGTAAGGTAGTAGTTGCTGGATTCTGTGTTATGGGAACAGGCGTACTTGTATATATGTTGGGTATTTTGTTATGCCTCGGATTCGTCAATGTCGTGGCTTCTCTGTGTGCAAGAGGCTTAAAGGAAATTGACACTTTTTCGTTCATCCAGACCAAGAAGCACAACCTGACG